GAACAAACTACAAGTCACATACCACATTACCATCCTGATGCTAATTTAAAGACTGGCGAACCTAAAGAAAACAATAACGAAGTTAGTAGACAGAAATCAAAAGAAAGTTGTCCACAAAAGAACAAACTACAAGTTACATACCATATTACTATCCCGATGCCGATTTTACAACAGCGAGTCTAAAGAAGACAATAACAAAGTTAGTATACAAGAATCAAAAAAAAAACTACACACAGAATAATAAACTACAAGTTACATATTACATTATCATTCCAGTGCTAATTTCACAACCTGGCAAACCTGAAAACAATAACGAAATTAGTGAACATGAAACAGCAAAAAAAAAAATATGAAAAAAGAAACTGAATTCCTTAACTACTGTCCCGGCACTGATTTCACAATCCAGCAAATTTAAAGAATAAAGAAGACAATAATGAAATTAGTAAGCAAAAATCAAGAAAAAAAAGTTAACAATCTAAAAGTCACTAACCACATTACCATCCTGGCACTGATTCATAACCTGGTGAACCTAAAGATAAAAACAGAATTAGTGGGCAAGATTCAAAAAAAAACCACACACAAAAGAACAAACTACAAGCCAAGTACCATATTACCGTCTCAGTGCTAATTTCACGACCCAACGAACCTAAGACAAAAACAAAGTTATTGGGCAAGAATAAAAAAAAAACCACACACAAAAGAACAAACTACAAGCCAAGTACCACATTATCGTCCCAGTGCTAATTTCATGACCCAGCAAATCTAAGAAGACAATAACAGAGTTAGTGGGCAAGAATCAAAAGAAAGTCACTTATAAAATAACAAATTACAAGCAACCTACCACATTAACATCCTGGTGCCGATTTTATGACCTAGAGAACCTAAGAAAGACAATAACGAAGTCAGTGGGCAATAATAAAAAAAAAACTACACACAAAAAACAAACTACAAGCACATACTCATAAATACTGTTCTGGCGCTAATTTCAAAATCGGCAAACCTAAAGAAGACAATAACAAAGTTAGTTGGCAAGAATAAAAAAAAAGTCATACATAAAAAAATAAACTACAAGCCACATACTCATAATTACCGTCCTTTCGCTGATTTCATGACCTGGCAAATCTAAAAAAGACAATAACGAAATTAGTAGATAAGAATAAAAAAAAAATCACCATAAAAGAGATAAACTACAAGCCACATACCTCATAGTTACCGTCCTGACACTGATTTCACAACCCAGCAAATATAAAGAAGAGAATAACAAAGTTAGTAGACAATAAATCAGCAAAAAGAAAAAAAAAAATCTTAGAGATAATCATTTATATAGCTATGTGACTACCCATATAATGGACCGGGATAATTAAAATTGAACCCACTAATCATTTGATTCAACCATTATGACTCTATTGGCTAATGTGCCTACGATGGAGTGGAGTGGTAATGGTATTACTAAGACCGTGATTCCGGATAATGTTTTCGAGAAAGAATGCTAAGGATGGTTTTAGTTAGAACTAAAATAAGTTATAAAAATATTTCCAAGATATCAAATTTAATGATAAATATATGCTGATTAATATAAAAATATATATGAATAGGACAGCAAAAATATTTGCTTCTAATTGATAAAACTATATTTCAATTTTGTTTTGTGAGAGTATTTATTTATTTAGAAATTAGATAATTATTAAAAGTTACAATTTTTAATCAAATTTAACGCTTTTTGACTCTAAACAATTAAATTCAAAAAAAAAACAGAAACATACATTTACATATTCGAAAGCAAATTAATTAAAGAAATTATATACCTATTTTATCACTGCATTGTTATCTACCATTACAATTATTATCTCTATCTACGGTATCATGATTATTTTCAATATCTTTATAAGAAGGGGGAAGATCTTGTTGGTTTGTTTGTATTTGCATATGATCACATTCCAGACTTTCCATACTTCTATAGTGTGCTTGTATGTTTTGCATACATATACGGTCATATTCTGTTACTAAGAAAGTATTAGAAATTTATATCATAATAATAAAGTACCATGAAAATACTACTTATTTACTTGGTTTTTCCCAAAAATGCATCTGAAACTCCTTATAATATTTACAACCAATTTTGGTTTGTTTACCATTAAGGCTTCCTTCAATATATAACTTCATTTTCTGTAAAAAATTTTAATGTTTATAACCAAAGGAATGTAATCATTTATTAATTTGAAAAATATTACTTTATAGTCTTGTATTAATCCTTGAAATTTTTCTTTACAATGAGTTTCCGAATAATTGGTCCCAAATTCGAGATTAATATGGCTTGCAACACCTTGCCAAAACATAATTTTCCCATTACCCGCAAGTTCATGGTACTGACTATTTTTTTCTTTTCGCTCATCAATAAGCATACGCAATTGGTTCGTTGTCCACATTATATAAAATTCGAGAAACCTGAAAAATAAAAGATCCTTTTTATAATAAAAAAGCATAATATTAGCAACATATTAGACAAAAGCATTAATTAATTAATTCTAATATAGATTCACATAAACTGGGTCTTAATAGCATAGTATGCAATATAGAAGACAGACTAGAACAATTACTGTCTGCCAGATGATAATTTTTTCAGTCTATTCTTAACATATATTTAATGCACAATGGATTATTCGAATTTTAATATCGATATGCATATTGGAAGTCTTAAATTATTGTTATACGTATAATCTGATAATTAATTTAATTAACGCATAACAATAACAATAAATAATTTAATTTTCACATGTTATAGTAATATGAAACAATGGCTCTTTTTTTATTACTATTTATTATAAAACACCCGCGACACACCCATGACATACCTGTGCATATCAATACTATTTATTATAAAATACTCACAATACACCTGTGACATACCCACAGTGTTCCCATGGTACATATACTAGATAAAATTTTCAGAATATCTAAATTTATAATAAAGAATAAGAACTTTTAATGGTTAAGAGGTCTGGTATTTAGAATTCTACTTTTATGATTGTTACAAACTTATAAGTGTAGAATTTCTAACATTAACAAAATTAATAAAAAAAAATGGAACCACAAACTACGTACAAGCAATCTAATTACCGTAATTCACTTCTGGCACTGATTTCACAATCCGCGAACCTAAAAAAACAATAACAAATTAGTAGTAAGAATCAAAAAAAGCCATACACAAAAGAACAACTACAAGCCATATACCACATTACTGTCCCAGTGCTGATTTCATTACCCAGCGAACCTAAAGAAGAAAATAATAAAATTAGTAAGCAAAAATCAAGAAAAAACCTCTACAAAAGAACAAACTACAAACCACACACAACATTACCATCCTGGTACTGATTTTACAACCCAGCGAACCTAAAAAAAACAATAACAAAGTTAATTGGCAAGAATAAAAAAAAAAAGTCACACACAAAAGAACAAACTACAAACCACATACACATTACTGTCCCGGCGCTGATTTCAAGACCAGCGAACCTAAAGAAGACAATAATAAGGTTAGTGGGCAAGGATAAAAAAAAACTACACACAAAAAAACAAATTATAAGTCATATACACATTACTGTCTCAACAAAACTAAAGAAGACAATAACGAAATTAGTGGGCAAGGATCAAAAAAAATTACTTACAAAAGAACAAGCTACAAGTCACGTACCATATTATTGTGCGACGAACCTAAAGAAAACAATAATGAAATTAGTGGAAAAGAATCAAAAAAAAGTCACCATAAAAGAATAAGCCACAAGCTACATACTCATAATTACTGTCCCAGTGCTGATTTCATGACCAGGTGAACCTAAAGAAGACAATAGCAAAGTTAGTAGGCAAGAACAAAAAGAAAGTCACAAAAGTAACATACAAGCAACATACTCTATTATTGTCCTGGTGTTAATTCAAGACCGGCTAACCTAAAGAAGATAATAACAGAGTTAGTGAGCAAGAATCAAAGTCACCTACAAAAGAACAAACTACAAGCCATATACTACATTACTGTCCTGGTGCTAATTTTAAGACCGGGAACCTAAAGAAGACAATAACGAAGTTAGTAAACAGAAATCAAAAGAAAGTCACAAAAGAACAAACTACAAGCAACATTACCGTCCTGGTGCTAATTTAATGAGCGGCAAACCTAAAGAAGACAATAACGAAGTTAGTAGACAGAAATTAAAAGAAAGTCACAAAAGAACAAACTACAAGCAACATTACCGTCCTGGTGCTAATTTAATGACCGGGAACCTAAAGAAGACAATAACGAAGTTAGTAGACAGAAATCAAACGAAAGTCACAAAAGAACAAACTACAAGCAACATTACTGTCCTGGTGCTAATTTCAAGACCGGTGAACCTTAAAAAAACAATAACGAAGTTAGAATCAAAAAAAAGCCAACACAGAACAAACTACAGGCCACATACCACCAGCCCAGCACTAATTTCACGAACTGGCGAGCCTAAAGATAATAACGAAGTTGGTAACAAGAATTAAAAAAAAACTGCTCACTAAAGAACAAACTATAGCCACATATACGTCACACAATGCGAATCTAAAGAAAATTTTTTAAAAAAAAAGATAATCGCAAATCTTGATATTATTGGCTGATTATGTTATCAAATCT